TATATATATGTATTCAGATAGCCTTTAAGAATGCCTTTGACAAAAGAAGAACATATTGAATTGAAATCATTCTCATGGCTGGATCGGGATGCTGTCGCAAGGTTACGATGGACTTTAACAGGAAACATGGGAAGCACGTCACACACGACACTGCTGCCAAACTTATTAACAAAATTCAAAAAGACTGGAAGTGTTGCCGACCAACCGAGAAATGGACGTCCACGAACGTCCACTGACGACGGCACAACCGACGTGGTGCTGGCAAACATAGTCCCCTATTATGAGACTTTTGGGACACCTTGTAGTTCTGAATGGACTGTTAGTATATTAGTTACCAGAATGTATCTGTTATGAGTCTAATAATCATAATGTGGTCTGTAAACAGGCTCCAGTGCCGGAGCAGGTAGCGGTGAGTTCCATGTCTACAGACACTTGAGGCGGCGCGAGTACCAGAGACAAGACTTTCTGGACCGGCTGTCTGAAAAGGTATCAGCTTCATGTGAGCAAGAACATTGCGGATAAATTGTCAAATTTTCTCAACTTTCTAAGTTCCAGTGTTGGTCTATGGTCAATTAAAATTCCTGTCTTAAGTATTGTTCAGGTAGGATTAGATTTCCAGACGTATGTAAGCATCTTCATGATATACGTTACACTAAATAGTTCATGCATTCATTGCATACACCTCATTTTAAAACAAACTGATTTTGTGCTTGTTGTAGTGCACGTGGCTGTGAGAATTATTAGATTATTAGTAGGTCACATGACCATAAGTATGTCGGCTCTACCTCTGACATGTAAGGAAGTCCAGAAAGGCCATGAGTTATTTATATTGTTCTGTATTGTTATCTCGAGTTCACCACTTATTTTTGTTCTGATCTCGTGATAACAACAGTTGTTTTTTTTTTTGAGGTAACAAAGGGTGTTTTTATTTTTCTTATGATGTCGAAATGCATTATTAGGCATTACACTATGTACATAATGGATGAGTGCATCTGTTTTTACTTTACTCAGGGACTACCACAAGTAGTGCAGTGGTAGAGGTTCTGCCTTACAGCTCTGAGCTCCTGGGTTTGATCCTGAGCACCGAGGTTACATTGTGGAGTTACATTATATTTTTCCCCAAATTTCCCCTTTAAGATCAATAAAGTATATCTACTTACTTACCTACCTGCCTACCTAATTACCCAAACAGCCAAGCACCCACTCATCCTTCATTATGAGGATTAGTGCTGGACAATTTCCAAATTAGTGTCCGTCACTTGAGAAGGCGACTCAGACGGTCGTGGACACTATAGTGATCCTGAATGGGTGGTCAGCCAGTCTGAGGGTCTGGGACATCTCCATGATTATCACATGATGTTGGAGAGATGCTGCCAATTTGGTTTGCAGCTCACAAGACAAATGGTGATGAAAACCTTCAGAAATAGGATGTAATTACTGCAGAATCTCCGTAACACCAATATATGACAGTGTGCCACTTTCCACAAGGATGTAATGCTAGTATGCTACTTGTACGTGATGTCATAAAATTTTTATCATCACGAGATCAAAAAAAAAAAAGTCATGATCTCGAGAAAACAACTTTTGTTATCTTGAGCTCTCAAGAACAATAAGTTGTGACCCCGTGATAGCAATACAGAGAGAAATAAATAACTCATGGCCTTTCTGGTTGTCCTTAGACATATCCTTTTAAGTGTCATCTATAGGAGACTGCAGAAAAGACTGCTTCCTGGAGTGTCTTTATACTGAAGAAAAGCTGCAAAATCTTTTTTTCCCCAGGGAATATAATGGAATCTTTACTAACAAGTCAATTCACATGTGATGTATATTACCTGGGGTTATTTCTACTGATCATATTATAGAAGGAAAACCAGTGCATAGTCTTTCCATACGTTTAAAAAAAACAAAAACACTGACATGATGGGACTAATAATCCTGGGAATAATCCCACCTCCACATGTAAAACTAATCCTGTCTGAATTTGGCTTTATGTGGCAATCAAGCACACAGAGCAGAACTGTGAGGATGGCCCTGTTTTGAATTGTAATAAACAGGGGTGTGTTTGGAGAAGCACACTGAATTATACGTAGCTAGAGTCCTTGTTAAACAATTAACTTTGGAAACTAAAAGTTTTTAGCTGAGTGTAAAATGAGAAGTTTGGTTGACTTAGGTGCTAAAACATGTTAATTACATAAAATGAAGAGAGACAAGAAACTGGAATATCTGCTTGTTATAATCTGTAGAAGTATCTACAAGTGCTGCATGTGCTTGTGTTTATATTTTTTTAAACCAGTTACCAGCATCCTAGTTTAGGTGAGTAATGTGTTTACTGCCTGAGAACGTAACACAGCTATATTATTCTCCTACTTCAGCAAAAGCTGGATGAAGACTACCAGGAGAAAATGAAGGAAAACCAGCAGGCTGCTGAGGACAGGACAGCCAAACGCAGGAAGAAGAGGTGGCCATGTTGTTTATCATTATGCTTTAAGGAGTTTAAAAAAAACCCAGCAGTGTTAATGAGAGTTTCCAAAAAAAAAAAAAAAAAACCTTCAGTGACTGGGTTGAGAAACAGTTTTCAAACAAAACCAAAAAAATTCAGCCAACTATGGTTCCATAGTCAGAAACCGACTCTTATTATTATTATTATTATTTGTCTAGTAAATTTTTTTACATAGCACTTGTCATACAGTGCCCTTCAGAATTATTGGCACAAGGGCTGCAAAATATATTGAAATTATCGAAATATCACATGTACACATTGCGATATGCATATCGCAAATATATATAATTTAAATTGATTTTACACACTCATCACAACGCATGTTGCATTATATAATAAGTTATCGCATTTTTCTTCAATATCGTGCAGCCCTAATTGGCACCCTTCATAAAAATTATTCTTAACTGTGTGATGGTGGTTCAGGTGCTCATCAATTCTGATATCTATCTATCTATCTATCTATCTATCTATCTATCTAATAATAAAAATAAAATATATCTATCTATTGAATAATAAAAAAAATTATATATTTTAACACAAAGCCTAGTTGCCTCTGCCAGGAGGTTCATACTTGGCCATAGTTTTTTTTTTTTTTTTTTTTCCAATATTAATGTTTGTGAAGGGTGCCAATATTATAGTTCTGGAGTGTGTTGTATGTTCAGTGTATGTTAATGTGAATGAAAAGTACAAAACTTGTAAACTGTGAAACTGTAAAAACTTGTAAAAAGTGAACTGTAAAGTACAAAAGAAAATGTAAAAAAGGGAAAGTGATGCAATATTTTAAAATGGTTTAAAAAAAAATACAGGATTTAAGCTTTTTTTTTTATTTTTAAGAACTTAATAAAGCAGGATTGGCAAATATTAAAAAAAAAGTACTATAGAGTTTAGCAACATAAGAAATACAGCCTTTTTTTTTTTTTTTTTTTTTACTTTTCTTGTTTAGGGAGAAGCTCAAACATAAAAAGTTGATGGCCAAGAAAGCCAAACAGGAGAGAAAGACCCAAGCAGGTATGACAAATCTTTCCCACATTATTTCATATTTAATACTTTGACACCTACACAGACTGCTCGTTAACTGACACATATGTCTCCTCAGAATCTGATGAGGAGGAGGAGTCCTCAGCGAGCGAGAAGGAGGAGGAAGAGGAGGAAAAGAATGAACGGGAGGATGATGCTGAGGAGCCCAGCTTTGTCATGGGAAAGAGGTGACTCCTGAAGAATCTTATCAGGAAAGCACCATGGTCCTAAATTCCATTGAAAGAGTTTCAAACACCTTAAACATGGAGAACAGACTTTTATAAAAGCTCAGATGGAATGGACAAATAGGACCTGTAGAAAAATACTGGACATTGTATTTCTTATCAAGAATGTTCTTTTTTTCTTGAATTGTACATACTATATTTTTAATAAACATCACGAACCCAGCAGTTAATCATATTGCCTTGTATTAACATGATTTGTTTTCTTTCAGAGAGAGTGGGAAAATTGTGTTTTAAATGCATGACATGAAAAGACAATTCTTCTAATGAGATTTGTTTCCCAAAGCTATGCTTGCACAAGAAACAAAATGTTTCATTTCCTAACTTTTTAGAAGTCAAGCAAAGCTTCCACTTCAGGCTTAGTTTAACCACTATAGCCAGAGGACATAAACACAAGGTTATAGCTGCTCTGACTTGATGCTTAGGAATCCTCGCAAGAGAGTTTTGCATATTTTAATTCTTGTGTGTGTGTGTGTGTGTGTGTGTGTGTATTTATTTATTTTTTTTATTATTGAACCACGAAATTGGAAATGCGTGCTAAATGAAGCAGCGAAAATCTAAAAAACTGGGAGGTTGTGAACATGAGTGCTGTTCGTTTCAGGGGTTTTTGTACAATAGATGTGTGCTAACATCTAACATTAAAAAAAATACTGTCGTCGTGAATGCTTAAATGTACCATCAGTAGCGCTGGGTTCAGTCAGAAGGAGGCTATTAAGTTCATTAGTACATTTGGCCAGCAAATGACTGTTTCCAGAACTGTTTCTATGACCAAAGGTAATGTAAGGAATGAAATGTAAGGGGTGTGCTGTTATAGGAACATAATCAAGCGCAGGGTTACTGTTACCACCCTAAAGTTAATTATTTTCCAAGAATCATTCTTCTAACATCATAGCTATTTTACATTCTTTTATTAATAAAACAACAACACGCCATACTTTTTATCTATTTATAGATGCATTTAATGTTGTGGAATGCCTACTAAACATTTCCTGTTATCACTTATGTTGTAACAGCTATGAACACTATAAACAGTTGTTTTGTCCCCACTCTCTGTCTCTTGAAATTAATAAGTAAAAAAAAAAGATGCAGCCTGTCATGTTACCGAGAAACTGCAAAGTTCTCTCCTGAAAATTTCTGGCTGTAATTTACATTTATGTCATTTGGTAGACACCTTTATCTAGAGCAACTTACAATTATCTCATTTATACAACTGAGCAGTTGAAGGCCCAGCAGTGGCAGCTTGGTAGTGCTGGGATTTGAACTCTCAACCTTCTGAGTAGAAGTCTAACAGCTTAACCACTGAGCTACCACTTCCCACATTGTAATAAAGCACTGACACTGTAGACGCCTTCCATAAATGTTACATAAACGTTACATCTCCTTACAGAAATCTTCACCATATCAACAGTTATATTCATAAATGATAAATGATATAAAATGATATAAATGATAAAAAGCTTTTGACTTGGCCAAAAAAGCTTGGCCAAAAGCCTTAGTTGGAAGAAACTAGATTTGTCCACTGCATTTATTTACGTTTCTGCACATTTTTATCTTCAGGAGGCCAGCCCACTGCATGTTGGTCTATCCTGTTTCACTGCTCTGACTTTGACTCTGATTTCAGCTTAGCTAGAGGTTTTTTTTTTTCCAGCAAATCTGAGTCATCATAAACAGTGGTGTTGTGTCTATGCAGGCCCTGGACAAGCTGGTTTCACCCATCCCTTTTAATTCAACTCGATGATCTCACTACATTTGCTGAGTTTGACTGATGAATATGTGGAGGGCTAGGAGAAATTCTATAAAAAAATTTTTTGTTATTTGTTATTTTTATTTATGCATTCCTCACAATGTTGCACGAGGAAGTGGTGCAGTTCCATCACCCATTCTGGAAGACTCAATGGATGTCATTACATCATTAAGTAAATCATCTCCGCCATTATTTGTACATCTTGTTGAGGAATAAAACAAACAGCGAACTCTGACTTGCCCTTTTAACTACAAATGTTTGTGTGTTTACAGTCTCAGAAAGCCTTTTCCACTCTGGTGTCAAGTGTCTCTTGTTCACACGGTTGGAACTACTTGTGGTTTGATGATTTAGAAAGCAAGTCTTCGGGCTTCAGGGCTTTGCCCATGGCCCCATGACGAGAGTGTAGGTTAAACTTACAAAAAGGAGTTGAACTATCCTTTGATTTGTCAGGACATTGTCATTTGCACCTCCCAGTTTCCACTAGAAATGCACATACATACACACAGACACACACACACTCCACTCCCTTTAACTGTTCTCCTCCCTTACCATGGGAGGGATGATATTTAATGGAAAGGCTTTTAAGTGGTAGAACCTGCCAGGTTTGATTCACACAGCATTTTATTACAAGAAGAACAGAGTGTCCTTACTGCTGGTCTCCAGAATGAAGGCCTTCCTAGTAGTCTGTTTGGTGTGTATGATACTCCTTGAGATCTATGCAAGCAGTGAGTATTCTTTTCCTTTATTACTAAAAAGCAGGTTATTGCAATGGAAGCACTGTTTATACAGATAAAATTCCACTTCTCACTGTTTCTGATTAGGAAGAAAGCCAAACGGAAATTTTGTAAACCAGGCTCAGAATAGAAATTTATCACCAAAAATAAGGAACCAAAATTTATTTAGCACCTTAAATAGTTCTTGTGTTTGTCCATTTGGGGGAAACGTAAATGCTCTAGAACCCTCTTTAACCTTTAATTTTAGAATACTTTAAACCCTTAGAATACTTTATTTCTAAGAGTATTTTTTTCTTGCTATATCTATATATAGCTTGTGAAAGACATACATATGCATGTTATATATACTGTATGTCTCTCTCTCTCTCTCTCTCTCTCTCTCTCTCTCTCTCTCTATCTTTATATGACTTTGTCCATCTGGGAGAAATATAAAGGCCCTATAACCTTTCAACAAATCTTCTTATATTTAAAAATTCTTATTAGATTTATTTAATTATTATATCTAATTATTATATATGCCTCTTTATCTATCTATCTATCTATCTATCTATCTATCTATCTATACTATATTGCCAAAAGTTTGTGGACACCTGACTGTCACACCCATATGTTCTTGCTGAACATCTCATTCCAGAATTAGTCCCTGCTTTGCTGTTATAATAACCTCCACTCTTCTAGGAAGGCTTTCCACTAGATTTTGGAGTGTGGCAGTGGTGATTTGTGCTCATTCAACCACAAGAGCATTTGTGAAGTTGGGCACAGATGTTGTGTGAGGAGGCCTGGGGTGCAGTCGGTGTTCCAGTTCATCCCAAAAAGTGTTCAGTGGGGTTGAGGTCAGGGCTCTGTGCAGGCCATTTGAATTCTTCCACTCCAACCTTGGCAAGCCATGTCTTCATGGAGCTCACTTTGTGCACAGGAGCCCCTTATTTCCAGTGAAGACAAATCTTAATGCTACAGCACACAAAGACATTCTATACAATTGTGTGCTTCCTACTTTGTGGCAACAGTTTGGGGAATAACCACATATGGGTCTAATGGTCAGGTGTCCACAAATCCTTTGGCCATATAGTCTATCTATCTATCTATCTATCTATGAATGAGAGAGAGAACCTAGCCAGTAATTAGCCAGCAGTGTACTAAAGTAATTAAAGATAAGTGAAGTACACAAAGTTTTTAAAGAAATTAGCTGTGCATGCAAGTGCAAGTGTAAATATATAAATATACAATGTAAATCATATACTATGGCCTCACAGTCACCAGAGTGAACTCTTATGGGAGATTTTGGAGTGGCGTGGAATATTCAGGGAATGTAATTTGGAAGAATGGTGCACAGTTCCAGAACCTTGTAGAATTAAGTAGAGCTCTGGTGGCACTTAATGCTGGCTTTTCCTTTAATTTACACATAAAAATGCATACCGGTAAAGTTATCAATCAAGAGTCAAGAGTTCCGCACACTCTCCTGAAAGTCTCATTTTGGCGTATAGTCATCACTTTACCATGCAGAGCCTTTTGTCCTTCCAGGTTCATCCTGTTTGGGTTAACCATTCAGTCATTTTAGCCACATAATAAATCATACACTCCCATACTAAATATTCGCTCAAAACACTACCCCACCTATGGTGGCATACATTTTTGACATATTGTTTCGGTAATCTTTTAATTGCCACAAAATATCATGTCATCTAAACTGTGAACTGGGAGTGGTATTCACTGATCCCTGTCTGCTAATTATGACACCTAAATGTGTGTAATTGTTTGGGTGGTTTTGTGTGTGGAATTAAAATTTTGCTACAGGTTTTAAAATATATATTATATATCAAACCCTAGATTCTCATACGCTCACTGCTCAGTCTTCAAACATGCTGACTGTGAGAAAGAAGCCGTTATAATTGAACACTGACAGAAACTCAAGACAAGACTGAACTTGTATGTTAACACTCCATTCTTAGCAATGACAAACCACATCAACAGGTGCAAAAGTAAACAGCTACAGTATTCAGGTCTACAGTTATAATGGACAACATGATGTAATGATAAAAACATCCAAAACCATACAATGCTGTACTAAATAATACTTCAGAATAGGTGACGTAGTGCATGTACTGGAGTGATACACTTGTCTGTTAGTATAGTTTTTTAATTTAAGGTTATCTTAACTGACCCTAACTTTTTTTTTTTTTAAATAATAAACCAAACACGTCACATAATCAGCACTTGCATAAACCCATCCATAAATAAAATTCAGCCCTTAATGGGCAAGTTGTACACCCTTCAATTAACATTTGTAGTTATTAAAAGGAACATTATTAAAATTTAGGAACATGCTGTAATTTAGGGTTTTTTTTTTTTGCTAATTTACTTCTTATTAAGTAAAGTAAAAAAATAAGTAGACTTATTTTTAGTCATGATTAGTCATAATTAAACCTTAGTCAGTACTTGGGTATACAACTAACGTTGAAACATTGAAACACTGAGCACCAATTAAAAATGTGCGCACTTTGGTGAATTTGTTAACGTTACTCGTGGTTTATTACGGCTAATGTTAACGTGTGCTAATGTTAACTAATGCAGTTAGTTATGGCAAGACACTACAAGTAGAAATGACAATTTTTGTCAATAAGTTTTTAAGGTTTCTGGATAAATTGCGTCTATAACATGTTTTCTCATAAGCTGTAGCTATAAAAAATATATATAAAAAAGTTAATTTAACTGTTTTTGTCCCACTTTTGACCACTATATTATCTCAAACTTAGCAACTTTTAGGAATGTTTTCAGCCCCACCTTCTTACACAATCATATCATGTCATATATCCCTGAAAAGCTTGTTTGCTGATATATATGTCAAGTTATGTGTCACTATGATAAACATGTCAACTTCTTTTATAAACTTTTATAAACCTTACAAAGCACACTAACTAAAGTGGAGACACAATAAAACCATATAAATCTTAAAATAATATCTATCTATCTTAAAATCTTTTTTTTAATATATTCATAACCAAAATTCTCAGTTTCTAGAGGAGCTGAATTCATGAAATTTTACATGTTCATTCCTAATTAGAAGGATATACTATAACAGAACTTTCCAAAATATTAATTCTTGCTGAATTTACCTTAGATTTTATACTGAAAAATGTATATACAGGGTGACCTCAGCCACTCTATCATGTATTTGTGGAAATTTGCTCAACATATTTCTGTTGGTTTCTGACTTTTTGGGAACAACACCCAAAAACTAGATTTTTAGTTGGTTTGAAAACTCATTATAAAAAAAATGTAAGAATATCAGCAATCAAGGTTGAATGTGATATGTATTGGGAACCTTGGTGTAAAGCATTACTAATATTTATTATTTGATTTCCAGTAGGGCCTAGAATATGCAGTTTTTAACCTAGCCAAGTCTTAACCTGTCTGGTTAACCATGTTCATTTTGTTCAACAGCTTTGGTTGAATTCACACCAACTCCTTCGTTAGATGTGGCCGTACCAGTCACTACTAAAACTGTGTACCTTCAGAAGCCATTTTGTTCCTTTGACCGTGTCACTGACCCAACCTGTACTGGGGCAAACAAATGTAATGTATGGCTGGTGGCTGCACTGAGCTCAGGTGAGGGTTTTTTAAAACTTAAATGAAAGGAAAATTATAATCTAACACATTTACAATGGAAAAAGAAATTTTGCTGTGATGAAAAATGACAAATGGATAAAGTACACAAAGGGGTGGAGTTTTTTTTTTTTTTACAACTTAATACTAATGAAATGTCTCTCAATTCTTAGAATTTCCTTACATTTTATGTTAGCTATCAGTACAAATATCATGATGCTAACTTATAACTAG